AGGACCTCGCCTCCCTCCTCCCCAACCTCTCCCAAATCCGGCGCCCCTCCAAATCCTCCATCGTCAACTCCTCCATCGCGCACATCCACGCGTCCCGGCGACACCGTCTGCTCGCCTCGCGCGAGCTCCGTCTTCTCAAACACGAAGCCGATGCGCTAAGGCGCGAGATCAACGAGTGGCGGGACAGGGCGGGGATACCACGCTGCGAGGAGCCGGTGAGGGGCGAGGGGTTCGGGATGGTGATACAGGGGGAGCTGGAGGTTATTAGTGTGGGGAGGAGGAGGGGGAGGAGGAGGGGATGGAGTTTGGGGGAGTCGGTAATGTGGGAGGGTATGGGTATGGGATGGAGGATGTGGAGGAGGAGCCGGTTATGTACGCCCACGCCCACCACCAGCAACAGCAGGCGCAGATGCACGTCCAGCAGCACGCTCAGCAGATGCACGTCCAGCAGCACGCTCAGCAGATGCACCACCCGCACGCGCATGGACACCCAGGCATGGGCGGCCCTCAACACCAACAGATGATGCACCCTCATCACCCCGCGCACCCGCACCACGGCGGCCCACACCCCGGTCACCCCGGCCTCCCACACCCCCAGCATCATATGGACGACATGGACGACCCGCGCATCGCCGCCATGCTCCTCAAGAACTCTGCCGCTAACGGCAGCGGGAACGGGAACGGGAACGGCAACCCGTTCGCGCACAACTTGCCGCCGCCGCCTAACCCGCCGCCTATGCACGGGCGGTACGAGCACCCTTCTTATTACAACAACGGCGGCGGCGGCAACGGCAACGGCCAGCAAGGGCCGGGGTTTGGAGGGAACGGGGGTAGTGGACAGGGAGGAGGGAATGGACAGGGAGGGAACGGGATGTTCACCCCGCCTGCTACGTCGCATGGGCTGCCCAACGCCAATGGGAATGGGTCGATGAATGGAGTCTCGACGGCTAGCAACGCTTCTTCCGCTGGGTCGCCCGTCGGCGGAGTCTCCGTCAACAGCGGCGGCGGTGGGTCGCCCCCCGCCTCGGGCCCTGGGGGCCCCTTGACGCTTAACACCACCTCGCTTAATATCCTCGCTGCCCACACCGGCGCTAGCTCCCATATGAGCGCAGGCGGGGGGTCGGCACACGGCTCCCCAGTACACTGCTTCGGTCTACGAGCGGGCCGATGGTGCCCCCCAACACGGCGATCTCACCCGGGGCTGTTGGCACGGTGTTTGAGATTAAGGGGCGGAGGGAGAGGAGTGGGTCGGGCAGTGGGAGTGTGGGCAGTGTAGGAGGGGGGAGTGTAGGTGGGGGAGGGAGCCCGGCGTATGAGCTGCACCATGGGCATGGCCCACACGGACACGGAGGACATGGCGGCATGCATGGAGGACATGGGGAGTACGCGAGTGTTCCGAGGAGGTCCGGCGGGATGGGCGAGGGGTACATGATCATGAACGGCCTTAATGGGATGAACGGTATGGGGGGCATGGGAGGGATGGGTATGGCCGGTGGGATGGGCATGGGGAACATGAATGGCGGGATGGGCGGGATGAACGGGATGGGTATGGGCGGGATGATGGGCGCACACGGGCACCATCACGTAGGGCTCGGAGGGAATGGCGGACACCACGGACAGGGCCAGGGTATGGTTGGCGCGGGCGCGGGCGTAGGCGGCGGGATGGGCGGGGCGATGATGATGATGATGATGTAGAGCATCGGCTCTTGCTCAGCGTCAGCGTCAACGGACAGACTTTTTTTCAAATTCGAATCGTCGCCGTCGTCATCGTCTCAAGGTTTTTCAAGCTGCAAGTTGTCGATCAACCGCCTCGTCTTTCGCCCGTTTCGTTTTTCGTCTTTGTCGTCGTTTTCAAGCCCAGCCCAGCCCAGCCCAGCTCAACCCTATGCCCCTCGTCTCTCCATTTCTCGTCTCTTACGTCGCCTATCGTCTCTTCTCGTCTTCAAGTTCCCGTTCTGTACCACCCATACCTCAAGCTCAAGCTCAAGCTCAAAGTCACCCTATGCCCCCTTCCTCTTCCTCTTCTCTTCTCGGCTTCTTGTCTCGTCTCGGTCAACTCGTAATATCCTATTGTTTGTTGTATAGAACCCCCATCGACACCACGCACCCTCGGTCAGCTCCGCCGAGTGTCGACCCCACTCCACCCCACCTCGTATGTTATCCCGTCTATGTACTCCGTCGGTTGGTCAACATGATACCCCTGCTCCCTACCCCAACCTCTATGCGTAGCCACCTCCGTCGCAGAAGTTGTAGTCTACCGCGTACCGTCTACCGTTGCTTACCACTGCTCTTACCTACTGCCTACAAACCTACGTATGCTCAGTGTTGTTGTTATTGCCCTCTCGCTCGCCTACCGTTGGGATTTGCTACCCCGCCTGCGCCTCCGCATCGCTGTCGTTGCCCGCGTTCATCGTCATTCGTCGTCGCACGCCTTCCTCACCTCCACACCACCTCATACCGACACCACACCTCGTTCGCACTTCACACCCTTTACACCTTACCGCACCACACCCATTCGCCAACCGCCTACCTTCTCTCTTCCCCCGCACTTACTACCACCTTCTCTCGCACATCCTATTCCTATCTACGACACCCCACGACGCGCGCGACGACTTCCCACCGACCCTCGCCCCAAAACAACAGCTGTATCCTACCATCTCTCTTCATCCTCATCAGACCTCGTCCACTTGTTCGGACACACTCGGACACTCGGACGCTCACACTCGTTTACTATCCCCTCACCTGCCTCACCTACCTGACTGACTGGCTGACTGATATATATCTAACAACTCGTAACTCGTAACCCCTCGTGTATCCTAGTAGTCGACTCGTACCACTCGACGGACCCCCACGCTCTTTACGGTTTATTCTTCATTCCTTGTCTTCTAACTTGGTTTCTTTTCAAGTTTTGACTTGTTTCATTCCTTTACTTACGGCTTGCTCTTTTGACCTTCCGTCGCCCTTGGAGCCTTTACCTTTTTCTTACCTTAATTCTGCTCCGCGGGCCTCGTTTTACTTTCCCCCCCCTAATCGCGTACCGACAACAGCACAGCAACAACAAGAAGCTAACTATTCCAATATGTATTTTTTCTTTGGCCTAGACTCGGATCCTCGTCGTTCCCCTTCCCCACACCTTTTGCCCTGCCTGACTTCTTTTCAGCCTGGGTTTCTGAAGCTTTGCTCCTTCGAAAAGAATGTAGAGAGCGTGGGCGTGGCGTGGGCTGGGGTCCGTCCGTAGGGTTTCCGACTGACTGACTGATTGGCTTGCTGTACGTTACCAAAAAGCTTACAGAGACACAGACAAAATGAAATGGCTTGGAGTTTCTTATCCTCTCATCGTCCTTAGTGCGCTCGGTGTGCAAGAAGTCGACTGAGCCAGCTCGCGTCTAATCAACTCCTTTCAAGCAAGGAAGTAACATTGGCGGACATCTTTTATTTATCGACCTGGAAACATCACCTTGATACTATACTATACATAGATCTGTTCCTCTCGTCGTCATTTGAAGTCGACGTTGGCTCGCAAGCCGGCCTCAGTCAGACTCTCGATTGAATGGATGATATCTTTCGAGTACAGTACTCTATGGAGGAGTTGTGAACGTCTTTCATTTATCGACTTGGAAACACCGTACCTCCTTGATATATAATCGTCAGGTTCACCGACGCCTGTCTTCTGTCTTCTATCTTCCGCTGAAGGTCGAGGATCGAAGATCGACAGTCGAGAGCGCTGCCTGCTTGCCGTTGTTGCCCTGCCAGGCTGATCGTCCGAGTCGAGGTCGAGGTGCCCGATATCTCGCACCTCCATGTAAAATATCAGAGGAACGAGGAGACACAAATATTACTGATCAGTCGCCTTGGATCCTCTAATTACGCCGTTGCGCTGTGCGTCATCAGCAAGTTACTATTACTGTTACTGCTGCCTCCTCGTCTCAGGTCCACCGTCCACCGTCTAACGTCCACCATCCCAAAGACCCAAATATTTGACCCTCTGCGGCACGGCTGTTGCGCCGTCTTCGTCTCCGAACGCAGATCCTCCGACTCGCAGGTCGCGAGACGCTCAAGGTTGCTCCAGCTGAGATGAAGCCTCGAGCTCTCTGTATGATTTTCAGGCCTCCTGAACGTCGCCAGACTCAGCTTTGGCTTGTCCTTTTTTGCCGGTCATTACGGTGGATTTTCTGTCATTGCACCCAGTACGTCGCAAAATATTTTGACGGTGCCGGGATGGGCGGCGCCGACTCGTCAGCGGATGTCGTCATCGCGTCATCACCCGACCTATGTACAGTACATGTTCTCATATTGCATAACGTCGGTTCTGGGGTAAAAGTGATGCATTATTAGATTTATGCAGAACGACAATGTGTGACTAATGTGACTACTGTGACTTTGGCTGTGCGCGTGACATCAGTTCGGCTTGAACCAGTTGGTCAGTGTTGTCTGCTTCGCTCCCATTGCCTCCCGCCTCCTAAGATGTATTCTGCAGCATCTAAGCCCATGGAGAAAGTCAAGAGAGGTCTCCGGATCGTTCTCACTGATGCATGCGCGCTCAAGCTGGGTGCAAAGGTCCATGATCTCGCGGGTTGACAGTCGAGGGTGATCGTCATCCTCTTCATCTTCGGAATCCAGCTCAATGACCTCTCCTCTAGCCACAGCTTGTTCATGACGAACCCTGGCCACGATCTCATCATCATCCTCAAAATGAAACTCCCTTTCTCCGATCTCGTCACCGCCAACCGGGTTCAGCATCTCCTCCAACGTGAGAGGAGCCCCAATGATCCTCCTTCGTGCCTTCAAATCTTGAACGACTTTCATCAAGTCTTCTTCTGCGGATTGGAGTTGGGGAAGAGGTGGACGACCTTCTGCGGCTTACGCGGTTTGTAGGGGGCATGCTCGGTTCGGACTTTCCGTTTGCGCTCGTCTGTGTTACATTTGGCAGGCATGGGAAGACAGAATGTGGGTGGTGGGTTCCCCCGGCGGTTTTGTTGGATGCGCGGTGCTTTTTAGAATATTCTCGAACACGATCGCATAGATATGTAGTGTGGATTAGATGAAAACGACCCTACTGATAATGCATAACTTGGCCCGAGCCTTCATGCATTATGCATTATGCAATTTTCCCCCTGTACGGAGTCAGTTCTAGTCAAAAGTCCATGCACTCATAGAATTATGCAACATGAGGTCATGCATTATGAGAACATGTACTGTAGGTTCCAACTTCGAATTCTAAGCTCTAACGCTGACAGATGCTTACCCGAAATTTTATCCCAAGCGCACACGAGCCGTGAACGTAACCGTCGTCGCGGGTCGTCGCCGCGGAACCGTAGGGGCTGGAGTTGGGAAGAGGCGAGAGCGGGATCGACGTCGGACTCCGGAGTTCGGAGGGGATTCGGGAAGAGGTAAAACAGGGGCTACCTACGAAGGGGATGGAGCGACGGAATGGAAACGCGGGAAGTCTGCATCGGTGCCTTGGTGTAGAGTAGGTGAGTAGGGTAGGTGAGTAGCGATTCATTTCGTTTTATTTTTTCGCGTTTGAGATATTTTATTGCAGTGGGCGCTCAGCTGATTTCACTGGGATTTTGTGTCCCCAAGGAACGCGCCCACAAGCTAAGTTATCGATCCGCGTAATATGTATATATCCATTTCTCATCCACCTACTCCTGCTGGCACGACGCCGATTTCGGGTCGTCGACGTAGCAAAAAACATCTCCTCCTTGTACTTACCCGGTACTTACATAGTCACATCTGCAGCTGATTTTCCCAACTCTCGAGGCCGCCTCGTTCCTGGGAGAAAAAATACGTATTTGCTGCTCTCTCCTTCCCAAGAGTTCCTAAGAGTCCCCAAGCGAACGCTTGCGAAACAACCCCTCCTTGGACCTTCTCCTGGCCCGTTATGATTCGTGCGACTACTTGGGTCGTGATCGTGCTCTTCCCTGCGCTCGCGGAGTGTAGATCCCGCCTCGTGTGATGCGTCTCCTCGGGGGGAAGCCTCAGTTTTGTGGATCGTCGATTCCTGCTATGTATGTACGGAGGGTAGGGAAGGGGAGTTCTCGGTGTCTCTGTGATAGGCTCCTCTGTGTCTCAGGGCGTCTGTGGGCACTGGGTAAGAAGAGGAAGGAAGGGCTTGACTCAGAATCGTGTACTTACGTACATTGCAATTGGGAGCGATCGCAGAACACCTCAGAACACGAAAGGATATACATAGAATTCAAGAACTCCTACAGTACACAAGTACATAGAGTACGAAGTGCTTCGACGATCGAACGACCGTCAAACTCCGCCTCGCAGTTTTTTGCCACCGGACGCCGCAAATTTAAAAAGGAGCGCGGTTTCAGCCTTTCAGGCGGTTTCTTTCGTTCTTCGATGCTAAGTCTATGCATATTGGTTGCCGGTCTTGTATGTACTTGGAAAATGGTGTCTTCTTTAACCTCCGTCCCGGCTGATGGCACTGGGCAGAAGCGAGGTTTATCTGATAAGCTTGCCCTTGCGTCGTGCGTCATGCGATCTGATTGTCTGCCGCGAAGAGTCCAAGCAAAAGAGCAGGTTGTTGGGGCGGCCGCCGTCGGGGCAGAGGTGCGTCGAGGACGCGCATAAAATTATTCACTGAGACTGACATTTCCTGAGACTAACCCGTCGAATGTGAGAAGAAAACGACGGTGCCTTGCTCGCGACGTGGATGGCGAGCTCCACCTGGCTACGCTACGTCGCGCCGCCTCAGCGTGCCATGTAACTAGATGAAGAGAGTCTGTCACCTAGTCAAGACTTAGCTACAAAGATCTGACAGAAAGACACGGACCCAGGTAGGTAAGTTGGACCCGATTGTTGTGAACGGTAGGACTGTATCCGGACGTGCTTGTCTTTCCAGATGCATCATGCCATTGTGCGCAGACCATGATACATACGTCAGTCACCTGTGCTCGAGTACAGGGATCCTTGGGGCTAATGGTGTAGGATGCTTCGTTCGAAGTCCTTCGCGCGAGCGTCCGGGCCGCCGAGGACAGAATAATGGGGTATAAAGTTCTCTTGGGTGGTCGAGGACGATTTAAGAAACGTATACCTGTTTCTCCGGGGTTTCATGCACGGGCAAAGTAGTCACTGTGGCGCGGTTTGACTGGTACAGGTGGCGGGGTTGCTGTGGTGGTTGAGCTCTGAGCCGACAAGGTTCGCACCGCCTTCAGGTTTCACGGTGATTAGAAGGTGATTAGTGCCGCCTCTTCATCGGAGGTATTGGCTGCGTTGCTTCCAGAAGTGGAAAGCCTTTTCGCTCTTTTTTCGGTTTGAAGTTACAGGCCAGTGCTTGTCGATTCTAAGGACAAACTTCTCCTGATTCGCTTCCCCCTTCAGGGACCTGCGGTGAGCACTAAAGATATGTGCTCTACGCTCTAGAGTTCCTTGGGGATGCGGGGCAGAAAGCATACGTCGAGTGCGCCACTAGGGTATTTCAAAGTTGGCGAAGCGGCCGATTCGAAACGGGCGATTCGAATCACTTCTGACAACCGGCTGCTCGGAGTTTGAACTACCGATGGCGTCGTGATGGGCTTTTCGCCGCGATAGCGTCCGCATGACAGCGGAACGGCTGCCAAGGTCGTCTCCGTGATGGAGGAAGGTACTTGCTCATCGAGTCCGACAGCGAGTAAGAGAATATGAACACCCCCTCTTTCTTCGACCTAATTTTTTTGCTTGTAATGAATGTGTATTGTTATTGAGCACAAACGTCGCATTTAGATGTTGATAGAAGGCAGGAACTCCATGTAATACCTCATAAAAGATTCAAGTTTATCTCATAACTTGAGGGGAGTTTTCTCCTTCATAAGCAGCAAGATATATGTATTCTGATAGCCCTAGATGATTGCAATAATGGTGTAAAATTTCTAAGAGAAAGGGACGAAATTGAAGGATACATAATGAAAATGTGTTGCTCGCTGTCTGACGCGTTGAGGAATCACCCGCCTCCGTCGTGGCGCTCCGTTGATGGGGACTCATCATGAAATGTCGACTTGTCCTGCCGGAACGTCGCCCATCACTCGCATCAGGTAGTTCAAATTCCGAACGACCTGTTCCGAAAAGTGAATCGAATCGGCCGTTTCGAATCGGTCGCTTCGCCAACTTTGAAATACCCTACTGTGATTCGGGTGATTGATCGTCAATGGCATCAGGCCAAGCTGATGCCTCTGTTATCTGTACTCGGACGGGTCTTGAAGTCAACGAACTCGACGCTCAGAATAGAGAACATACTCTTAGTAGTGACTTCGTGCAGACGATAACTGTGTTCTGGAACGTGGAGTCGGTGATAGGAACACACGAACTGTCTGTGATAGGCTCCAGGGAACATGGGGTGATTCAACTCGTCGCCTTCTTCCTAATGAACGTCAATGAAAGCATATCAAAAGGACAGAAATAGCAGCTTAACGAAATGAATTCATTACCGCCTTCCGCGCCCCAAGGCTATCCTTCAGTCGGTAACACCCAAAAGAGGAAATCTTACCATACACGAGGATAGCGACGCAAAGTCGCCGGAGATCAGGGCGTCCGCGAGCCTACCTGGATCGGCACGAACCACAAGATACGTGTTCTTCATCGAAGATTCCTTCGCCTCGTCATCTCCCAACAGTCAGTAAGTAATAAATGAGAGAAGCACGGCACTATCTCTCGATCCCCTTATGCAGGATAGGCCGGCTACTGTGCTGCATATGGCCGCGATAATGGGGTGATCTCCCATGATAATGGTGAGTTTACATAGAAATAATGAACACGCTAAGTCATTTATGGTTTGTTCTCGTGGCCTATTGTCCTTTGCGTTGGGGAGACACTCGTGGAGTGTAAGGTTCGACGCCACGCCATCTGCCTCGCTGTGAGAGAAGTTAGCAGGAAGTGTATGGGTAGTGGCAAACTAGGGTTATATTCAGGGAAAGCAATGGCGATGTCGGCGAGCTGAAGTCATGAAAACATGGAAGGCTGATAGCTGTTCCGACAAATTTAAGTATTATTCGAGATATTAGATTTATCTCGCACGTATTGGGTCGTATCGTAGTCTGGAAATGCGCCACAACTGACGATCCCCATGTCCGAGGCGAGTTTGAGCCTCGGTTCCTCGACTTTCAGGCACTCACTCATTCCAGCTGCGGACAAATCTGCTATCATATCTTCGATGATTTCAATTAGAGGGAGCCTAACAGACGCTCGTCAGCCAAAACTCGATACGCTGTCGCCTCCGTGATAAATTGACGGCTCGACGATATCCGTCCTTATCCGTCTCGTTCGACCGCAATCCAGAGAAAAGATTCCGCCATATACGACAAAAATTCCGCGATACGCGCACTCGCATGCGCGATCGAAAGTGATCGAGCGCGTGCGTTCAGGCTCTTGGACACCGCGTGGAGGTGGTCCTTATTAGGACCTTTTTCCCTTTTCTAGCGCTCATTTGTTGAGAAATGGAAATTCGGATCGGCAAGGTACCACTTTTACATAACTGAGCATGTATGCGACAGACTGGCTAACAAAGGAATAAAGTCAGGTTGGCTCAAGGAAGCCCATAACCTCGTCCCACCTCGGTAGGTCTTCCGCATCCCATAAATATCTGTAACTGTCTCTCTTTTTATCTCCAACAGTAGGCAACCGAAGCTCAATGGTGGTGTGTTCGTCACTTGCCGAGGAGAGTTCCTCCATTTCCCGAATAAGATTGCTCCTCTTAATCTCCTCGAGCTCTTCTGCCGTAACGACTGGCGACGTGTACCCGTCATTGTTTCTGCTGTCGGCATCGAATGAGATTCGTAAGCGGGAGGGTTTTCCGTTCCTATACGGTAATTTCGCCCACCCGGACTTCAGAAGTTGAGCGATAGCGCTCCCATTTGAATTAGCCCGACACTGTGTAAACTCGAAAGAGAGAAGTTCGAGCTCTGGTAAAAGGTTCTGCAACCAACACGATTCTTCGGCTTCAGGGCTGCTTCTGCAGAAAAATCGGTCAAAATCGGTCACTCTTGAGTGTATATGCAGTTCATTGAGTGCTGGGGCCTTCCAAAGGAGTTCAGCGAGCGTTTTAATGCTGCAGATTTGCTCGTTTTCCAGTATTCTAAGGGCCTTTAGACCTGGGAATGAGACCCAGCGGAACGTCGCGCTAGGAATGACGACCAGTTGGCGAAGCTTTGAGTGCATGATAGTTGACGGGGTCACTGGTTCACCCGCATCTGACTTGTCCTCAAACAGGTAAAAGACGCCGGATAACAAGTTTTCGCAGTTCGTTAACACCTCAAGCCAATTGCTTTGTTCGATCGGGCACAAGATGCATAGATGGGTGAGCTGGCCCCAGCAAAACGAGGGGGTGTTCACGTAACTCGTGAGAGCGAGGCGACGGAGACGAGGGGCAGGTGGGAAGGCAAAAACAAATTTTGTTCGGGATGTGATCCCTATGTGGAAGTACTGGTGCACAGCGAGTGATTCGAGGCGCTCGAAAGTTGTTTGCGTAGCTGCCTTGCAGAGTACCTCCATTGCGTGTCGATTGATAGCCATTTCAAAATGTCTAATGGAAGGCAACCCGCCCAGGGCGAATTCGAGGGCATTCACGGTCTCGGGTCCTGGAGGGGTTCCATCTAGGATTGTCCCATCTTCTTCGACGTCGTACTCTACACGCTCTTCCTTGATTTTGTCGAGATAGAGGTCAATCGGAACTGAACATGCGTTGTCCTTCCACCACGCCAGGAATTCGAGTGTGCATGGATCCATGGGCAGCTCTTCGTAGATAGGGTATTTCATGTGGCTATATTCCTCCTTCTTCCAGTGGTTATAGATGGGATAGAGGACCTTGAACGTTGACTTCATGCAGAGACGGGCCCAGAGTTTTGGGAGCCGAAGGGCAGTGATCCGCCATTCTGAACATACATGACAGAGGAGGATCGGGGCGATTTTGGTATTAGGTTGGCTTTCTTCCCTGGGCCTTTCAGGTAAACAACGGAGGAATATCTCCCCTAGGATCTCGGTAGGGAGATTGTGGATATGTGCCATTTCAGCTTTCGGAGGTCGTAATCAGATTGAATAACTTTCGTACTGGAAAGCATGCCACTCACGGATTACTTGTTAAATATACGCTGTTTTCGATTCCACCGATACGTGATGTATAGCGGCTTGACCAAAGCTTGACACCTTTTGCCCGCAATCAGTGGGAAGGGAAAAGAACTGTGGGAAAACGACATGCCGACGCGGCATTTTTCTTGTCTCTTATAGTCCACTCTGCTTCAATTCTTTGTTTGGGGGTATAACCTCAGTACAGGCCGCCACCGCTTAGAAACCTTTTCTCAATAGCTTGCATCGCAATCATTGGGTGACGCCTCCTCTCCGACGATTTCGATATGACTCTTGAACTACAGCAGATTTTCCAAGTCTGTTTGAAATGTGTTGGTGTACGTCCAGTGAATCATCGTTATCGTACTCATGAAGCTGACAGGGTCAATCCGATCTCCTCTGATATCTGAGTCTCGATCTAGACCAATTCCTCGAACATTCCATCTGAAAATCTCTACCTCAAGTGGGCCTGGCCTGGCGTTGGATGATGCGTTCATCCTCGTCGACGTCTTTCGAAGTTCTTGCTCCTCTTGTTCTCCTCTCGTCTTGTCATCGGCGGTGCTTGGGGACCTGTGACCTCAGACGAGGCGAGGCCTGTCAATGCTATAACCTTATCCTACGTTAACGTTACAGCATCGTTAGCCTTGGGCCCCTCGAGCTCCCCGACTCCCGCTCGCGGCTTGAGCGCATGCACAGCACCGAGGCTCACCGGTGCAGTGCCGGAATAGCGGGTACCTGCGCACCCAACTAGTGGTTGGCAGTCCCGATCCCGAGACACGACTCCGCTCGTGCTCCCTCCGTCCCCACTTCACTGCAACTCCATATCCCTTCTTCTCTTTCCAGCGTAGTACTGCACACCATCCCGCACTGCACTACATAGCACTGTACGGGTAAACCATAAGTACTTGTACATCTCTCCTGACAATCCATCACATCATACCATACCATGTCATATCATTCGTCTCCACATCCAACGGTCCAATATCTGTCGAAACGTCTTCGAAGTGCTCAAACGTCGTCCCATCAGTACGCCCAACAGTCTCTCCCATCTTATTATGAGCTCAACGCCGACGAGCGGCGGCGGGACTGAGGTGCGACGGGCCTCGTCAAGACTTAGTGCTATAGTACTCATACTCGGTATACTTAGTCTTGTAGAGTATATTTAGCCTACCAGGTGCATCTGAATTTTGACGCGCCCATCCTATCTCCTCGAGCGCCTTACTTAGCGCACCATCATTAGAACCTAAATCTTCGCTAACCCAAACTCTATCTCAGCTGTAGTCTCCCGACACTAGCACTGATACTAGCTATAGGGACCTTGTACTCGAGTCCTTTAATAGCGCGAAACGCGAAACGCACCCTCCGCGCCTCGAGGGATGGCTCTCGTCCTCTCCTCCCCTCATCGCCCAACTCCCAATTTCCGTCCCCACCTCCAACCACCGGATCCCATCTCTCGCCCCTTCCCTCGTCCAGTGCTCGCTCGTTCAGCCGCTCGCTCATCCGATCTACACAAGTAAAGTACATGTAGACGCGGCGTTTTGACTGAGCCCCGTCAAGCCTTCGTACTTATCATACGTGCTCTATAGACTCTAGTGTACTTGTTTTTTTACCCGTCCGCCGAACGGTTATAGCGCACCTCTACATAGATCTACTCTATCCTAACCCAAACCAAACTCTATCTCAGTCACCCGACTAATACCTGTACAGATACAAGCCTCGTACCCCGAGTCCTTTATTAGCGCGCGCTACTAGTAGTAATTAACACCAAACGCACCCTCCGCGCCTCAAGGTTTTAATTGCTCCTCTTGTTCTCCTCTCCCCTCTCCCCTCGGGCCTCATCGCCCAACTCCCAGACGTTGGGATTCAACTTCCCGTTCGCACTAGGGTTTCGTATAAGTAGACAACACGACACCTGAGAACCCCCCTTCCAGGTTCCTATATGCACTCTACTGTACAGCTCCCGTCCCAAGAGCGAAGATGATAGAACGCTTACGCTGGCGTCTCAAGCCCAAGTAAGCTCGTACCCCAAAGGATCCCGCCCCACCCCTACTGCAGTGCCCGAGCGCTTCGATTCTTTATTCTTTTCTTAGCCCTCCTTTGTACTTTGGGCCCGTGCCGTCCCACCGAACGCAGAGGTAAAAGCTTCGCCCACCGCCACCCCATCTCCGGGCCTTTACTCTTCCTCCGTCCCCTCTTCTCCAGTACTCGAAATGTGTACGTACTACGTACTATTTACCCTCACCCCATCGCGTGCCCGCCCAGGCCCCTCGTTCATGTCCGTTTCCCCGTTTCTCTCTCCCCTCATCTTCCTCCGTTTCCCCATCCCCATCCCTCCCTCGGTCTCCCCCAAAAATCAAGTCCTATTTCCAAATCATATAACGGCACGCGACCGCCATGCGCACGTCTCCACCCCTCGCAGCGTCGCTTTGAGCTTTCTCTTTAGCCTCCGCCCGCCCGCCTCCGTCTGCCTGCCTCCGCTCCAACCACACGTTCACTCCCTCCTCTCCCTCGCCAATCTCTCACCTCTACGGCCTCCCGATCTCCAAGCCCATTCCGTAACCTCTCCCGAAGCCAAGCCCGGACACAGTCCCGACTGTAAGACCATAGCAGGAAGGTTATCAGCTACCAAGCCCGTTCCGGTCTCCTTCCGGTCCTCTCTGGTGCACGGATGCAATCCCAATCTCACATACTCATCTCTGAAAATCACAGACCCTGCTGAGTGCTCCTGGGTGGTGGGATCAAAACGTTATACATATTAGACGAGGCCTGGAGGATATAAAATATATTGGAGGTAAGGCTTCTTTTTGGATTTATAAGGAAGGACGAATAGGATGGGAAATTCGCCGGTGACGAATGGGGTGACGAAAGGGCGAGAAGGGGGAAATCGGGAGCCGGGAGGACTGGAAGGAGCTGGAAGAGGAAGGAGCTGGAAGAGGAAGGAGGAAGGAGCTGGAAGGAGAGAAGAGATAAAAGAGCGATCGTGAAGTTAAAGAGCCCGTCGAGGCCGCCGTAATAAATTCCTGGGAGGAATGCGAGTGGACGGACAGAGAGATAAATCATAATTACATACATATCTGTGTGTTTCAAAAGTCGACGAGGAACGCTAACGCTAAGCTTTGAATCATGAACGTGCCAGACTCCAGTGGGTCGTGAACGGAAAGATAACCACGAAGACTGTCAGAGCCAACACTCCGTAGCGTCGAATGCCAACCATAGAGAATCGCTATACAAGTACTTGAACTAAAGAGATAGCTCGACGGGACCCACCCTGTGGCCGACCGACGGATCCAGCAGTCGTGCACGATATCTGACATGTAGAGTAGGGTACAGGGTCACGCATCTAATCTGGGCATTACGGCACGACAAGTAACCCTGAATTTCCCAACATGTCCTCGTACATGCCTTTTTCAGCACTCCGTGCAGCTCGCAGCTCGTAGTCCCCCTTCTCAACGGCTCGACTCGAGCCTCGCCGTCTTCATAAATCGACTTCTTGGTCGGATTTCCCCTGGTGAACGTTCGCTAACATCACTCTCGCCGATAGCTGATAATGAACATCGGGTTCGGAAGCGAGTGCAAGCGCGGAGAAAAGTAGATACTCGCGGCGCCGAACGAATTTCATATTTCGAGAGACTCGAATACTTGGATTCTGCTAAGAGGAACATCGCAAAGACGCTCACTGGTGGCACCGGGAGTGTAGAATTCGGCTCTCTAATCACGTCCCCCAACGCATTAGGACACGATAAGTAGCCACCCTGAATTTCCTAACATGTCCTCGCAAATACCTAATCCAATTCGAGCACCTGATCGCAACTGTGGCACTCCGTGAAGCTCGTAGTCCCCCCTTCTCGACGCCTCAACTCGAGCCTCGCCTTCTTCCAAATCGACTTCTCGGTCGGATTCCCCCCTCCCTCTCCCCGCGTTCATTCATCTCGCTCATAGCCGATGTCCAATATCAGGTTCGGAAGCGAGCGCAAGCGGTTAATATTCCTACTCTTGCATAGAGTATAGGCTTTTCCTTCCCATAAATAAGCGCCGTGCGAAAGCAGACGCCCGTGTTCTACGTAGACTTCTTGCAGCTGGACCCGCAGTCGATGCACTCGAGTATCGTGTCTTCCTTTCATTCCTTCCCTCCCCCGTAACTTCGGATTTCTTCTTGTACATATTCTGCCTCTGGATCCACACATCAGACGCAACGAATATCCTATGTAATCAAAACGCAAGCAGGCGCTTCGAAATAGCTCCAATTTCGAAGTCGCACATAAGCACCTTTTACTTACTTAACCTTTCTAGCTGCTCCAGAGTGGCCCTCCCCCCATCCACTAACTCCTAAGTACCCACCGCCCGGGACCCGAGTTTGGGTTCAAGTCCGAATTCAAAACTAAAATAAACCCGTCGATGAACGCGCGTCCACCATTCGACACGGCCCGGCTGTACTCTAAGTTCCCACTGCCCAGCTCGATGCCGGGGTACTCGAGTGAAATCATGACGGATGTACAAATCACGATCCACGAGGATAGCAGAATCGCGTCATCCTCGACCATCTTTTGCCCATCTTCCTCCGGCCGCCCTTGCTCAAGCTTCCAGAATCCAAGCTCACTGAATTTTCTATTTTCAATGAGTCGTATATCCTTCGACTTCCTTGGAACCGGGGTGTAGAAGAATAAATTTATTTCTGGACATTTGATAAGTCAACAATGGGAACTAAGACTGCCGTGTAGATCCTCAATGCCGCCCTCCAAAAAACTTATTTTCGTTCCCCCGAGTCGATCCGACTCTCCTCTTCGTCGATTCATCCCTCATTTCAGTACGGACGCTCCCACCGTGCCCGCCTCCTCCAATCCAAAATCTTCTCTGACATAGGCGCCAACATCCATCTTGACATCTGTGGTGACAGGCAGCACCTGGATCCCTTCAATCTCCTCAATTCCCCGAATCCCAACTTC